AAATCTTTTATACTATTTTCAGTMTTTTCCACCTTCTGTTATCAATAGAGGCAGCTCTAGCACAAACTAAACTCTAAAAGCAAATACTTCATAAAATTATTCAAAGACTGTTTTAGCAATACTCTGTTTTACTATATGAGGCAGATAAAAAATATATATTACATGCTTTGATTGACCCCAGTTTCCTATAGAGTGATTACAATTTTCTGAGAAATCTGATCTTTCATCCAAATTTAGTAAAACACAGCTAATATACATCAACATACACAAATGRTCTAAATGAGACCTCAGAAACTACCACTATTATCTTGTACATAATTCCTACTGCACATATATTGAACTTTTTCTCCCACTCATGAGTTTTTTTCATGTGCCATCTGTAGACTCTGAATACAGCTGGGTTCAGCTGTTTATTTTATCATTACTAAGTCGCAGAAGAGGGACTGCAATCAAAAAGGGAGAGGGTTTTTATTACCCTTTTGGGTGGAAAGCCAGAGTAGGAGTAAAGGATTTTTAGTTCTTACTCACACACAACCATTTTCATATTAACATGAGACCAGTGAGTATTAGAGATTGCAGCTTTTTCCTTTGTGGTTTGGAAGCTCTAACAGCCATAGTTTATAKACTGGTTCTGAAAGCAAGCATTTTCTTTTGTGAAGGGACAGCTTTGTATTTAGCAGCAACATGTCAGCTACTTGAAAGCCAAACCTCCTCCCCACTTTGTTTCGATGAGACAGAAGAAACGTACAGAAAGACACAGATCATCCCAACAACTGATGAGATCTGCTCACTACTAATGCTGCACAGTTGGGGTTGGAGATTAGCACTGGGGAAGGCAGAGCTTAACGATGAAAGGTGATGTTAAGAGAATATGAAAAAGATGGGAAATGGCTACACGAGACCACTCAGCTCTCAGACTGCTTTAAACACTGCCAAAACAAAAACAATAGGCTAAAACAAAGCTGATTCTTGGAGCATTCTTTCCATTACAAACTTCCTTAGGATTCACATGATTAATGACAGCATAGAACTAATGAGGGCATAAAGCCTGGGGTAAGAGATGGACAGGACTCATTTGGAAAAGGACTGACAAGTCTCACACGGTCTAAGCAGAACAGCCTGAATCATTATTGTGTTTCATGGCATAATAGACATAGAGTGCACTTAAAAACTGCAAGCCTGTCGTTCCATCAACTCCCATGGCATACTGGGAGAAACATGAGCTTTTCAAAGCAGTTAGGGCATTGAGTTCACCCTAGAAGTTTTACCCACAAGGTATGTGTTCACAGAATCATAACTGTTGGAAAAGACCATCAAGATCATCAAGCTAAGTTGTAGACCATCAAGATCATCAAGCCCGGTCATAAACTCATCACCCCCATGCCTACTAAACCATGTCCCTAAGTGCCTCATCTACACGTTTCTTTAACGCTGCCAGGGATAGCGACTCCACCACTCCTTGGGCAGCCTATTCCAATGCTTGACTCTCTATTTTTTGTGTARATTTTTTTTCCYGGTGTCTAAACTGAATCTCCCCAAAATAACYTGAGGCCATTTCCTCTTGTTCTGTTGGTAGGTATTTTGGAGAAGAGCTTGACCTTCTCCTCCCTACAACGTCCTTTCAGATAGTTGTAGTGAGTGATAAGGTCTCCCCAAAGTCTCCTCTTCTCCAGACTAAGGAGTCCCAGCTCCCTGAAGTGCTCCTCACAAACTCTGTGCTCCAGGCCCTTCACCAGCTCCCTTCCCTTCTCCAGACACGCTCCAGCACCTCAATGTCTTTCATGTACTGAGGGACCCAAAACTGAACAGGGTATCTGAGGTGCAGCCTCACCAGTGCCAAGTACAGGGGCAAATGACTACRTCTTTTGTAGACAACCTTACAGGCGATATCTGACTGCCCCTTTCCCATGGCGTAGCTTGAYTATGGATTGCTAGTTTGCCTCACAGTCTATTTTTGTTAAAGGACAGATCTTGAGCTGCAAACCACTCACTATGGAGTTTCTACCATCTGTAATATCCACAGAACATAATTCAGCCTTCAACAAATGCAAAACAGACAGGAGCTAGCATCACATTCACCTTTCTTGGGAACCATTTCTTATCTCTTTTCCAGTGTGGATGGAGAGTTCACGGGGTATTTAAACAATTCACTTGGAAATTTCACTGGAATTCATCATATCTTTTTTCGTATCATACCTACAAGTTTCAGGCTATTTCCAATCCCTGCTCCTTCTGATGATATCTAAGTGCTGTCAGTTCCACCAGGTTTCAGTAACTCCTCCTTTTCTTTCCCCAGTTCCACTTTTGCACTTCTGTAGAGTGATCCTGATGTTGTTGTTTTAGACTTTGCTGCCTAGAAGCCTAGAAACACTTCCCCCCACACCCTCTCCAGAGCTTCAAGAAGGGAGTGCTGCCTACTCCAAGCTCCTCAAACTTTCAGTTCTCTCCAGGAAGGTCTTGTGAGTCCCCACAGTTCATTAAACTCAATGATTAGCTTATCACAGAGGATCTTAAATCTTTCCCAGTTCCTGCTGCCTCTGACTCGCCCATACCATTTAGACTAATACGCACACACAACAGTTTTCCATTTCTACAGCACTGGCCTACGTTTATAAAGATGTGTCAATCAGGAGCATAGAAATAAAATAAATAAAGCAACTCAATTGAAAGAAACACTAACGTAGACAACGTTCTACCAAGAGTAAAATCATATTCTAGTACTCCTTGGGTACTGCCTTAAACTTTACTAAAACATTCTCCAACCATTACACCTTCACCTCCTCTAGCCATAGAGGCAACACTTTCCAAAAGCAGCTGAGTGCCTGCACACACATTCAGTGCTGCTACTCACTCTTCCTGGATCAACTTCTTGAACTGACAGATGCGTAACCTCCACAAGTAATTTTCTTTCTTACTGGAAGGGTTGTTTTGCTTGTTAGTAATTTCCTCATCACTKGTGAAAACGTAGCTTCCTTATTCCACCAACTACATCTAAGCCAATTAAACTAAGCATATGTCTAGACAAAGATAAACTGTGCTTTAAAATAAAGGATTTAGATGATATACKTTTGCTTGCACATTTTAAAATTCTAGTGTAGACAGACAACTACACTTTTTACATATCAGCAAGGAAAGGTGAACCTAGTGGCAGGTATGTAAGCAAAAAAATATAATACTAGGTAACTTATTTTAAAAACATGTTTTAGTCTAGCCTTCACAGAGCTTAAAAGGTGAGACAACATGCTGGGATTCCGAGAAGTCAATCACCATGCTTATTCTCCAGTCTCCAAATCAGCTAGGAATTATTTCAGTTCTGTGATTCTGTATTTCATCTGTTAAGTGTGTTCTAACAGAGACAGCACCCATTTGCGTATATGTAAAAAAAAAAAAAAAAAAAGAATTTACAGGACAAGAGTAGAGATAATTTCAGAAGCTCAGTGCACATGATTCTCTACTTGAAAAACTATGATTGTTCGTGCATCAATAGCCACAATTYTAGTTTATTTTAGCAACTTGGTGACAGGTGTCATGCATTAAAGATTAGAATCTGGCCCTACATGACCTCTCCTACTATCAGTTGTGATAAGTATTTCATTTCTTTCTTTTAAAATATGAGAGAACAACAATCACTGTCTGTAAAATCAGAAGCAAACCATAAGGGATAAGGGAAAATACTTTTTCGCTTTAAGATTAGTGACTTCTACCAAAATCATTTTCYAATTCATTGATCAATGTCACAAGGAGAATGATAATGTCACAAACATGAGAGAAAAGAATATTAAAGGTTTCCCCAGAGTCACGCATACGTTAAAATCTTGATTTCTCTTCATATKTAACTTAATTGCCATAAATGGTGCTAATAACCCCTTCTTTTATTATCGAGAACATAGTTCAAGAAGAAACAGATGGCAACACCACAGACTCTGTTAATTTTCAGAACATTATCCTACATGTTTATTAAATTGGTAGCCCTGCAGGCTACAGACTCTTGATTAATACAGATTTCAGATACTGCGAGGGGAGAGCGCCTTTCATCTTGCTTTGCCCAGCTGTTTTGCCTCAGCTTTGACCCGAGCTACATATCTATTCAAACCTTAGCACTTTAATTGGACTTCCCAGACATGATGATCTAGACTCAACATCACGGCATTGCACAGAGGCTAAGCACAGGCCTTGTCTAAGACCAGCAAATATAACGTGTTCAAACAGGATGCCTTACCTGTTGCTGCTTCTCTCTCAAAAACTGATTCTATCATCTATTATCATAATTAATCACTTGTTTTTAATGATAACCAGTCAAGATTGAGGCTCCACCACACTACTTTACAAATGCAACATGACAGACAATTCTGTGTCCTACGGAGTGTGGCAGAAATATTCCAGGAGTGGGAGCAGGTTAGTAACAACAAAAATTTGGTTAGGAAAGTCTTGTTCTGTCAGTAGTAATGACAATATTTTGTATATACAACTGTTTTTCTCTAAAGACACGTATATTTAACTCCTACTACCTCAACAACTCATTTTTGTTTGGCAATAAAATGTTATGGTAAATGCACAGAAGAAAAACATTTCCTGCGCTTCCTGCTGAAAACAATCCAGGTATTGACAATACGCAGGTTTGTGTTCCAAACATCTTCTGATAGGACCCTTTGACAGTTTCCAGGCTCAATAATCAAAGGCTCAACTGACAGCTTGAGAGGACCCACATTAGCTGCAAGGTCTCAAGTGGTTTGACATTGACCTTCCTCTTCTTGGCAAGCCAGGATCTGGTAAGTCCTTGCTACGCTGAATATGATTCAGATCAATTAAACAAAAATACATGCACATAAGGACAGTGGAGGACCGGTATTTCAAAACTAAGTGCCACAGTTACTCAGTGAAACTACCCTCTTTTACAGAACCTTATTTCCCTGAGCTACATTCAGATAGACCTTTCTGTTCAAACTACATCGATGAGAAGTACCATCCACTCTATTTAAAGTGCACTGCACCAAACTTACTGCATCACTTTGAGGCTGTGAGATCACAACAGGTTGTCCTGAATCACATGTCTCCCGTATATTAACATGCAATGGAATGTCTCCTGTAATAAAGGAAAAAAAAAAAATTACTTCTGTAAAGATCTGATATTTCTTAAAGGTATTTGATTAAGCTAGCTCAGAAGCAACTTGAAATATAGCTCAGAAGATTCTCTGAATCTCTTAACCTCAATAAACAGCATTCAAAATGAAATTTGACTGCAGTTAACTTCGTGTGTTTTCCTAATCATTCATGCTAATATTGTATTTTATGACAAGCAGTTTGCTTTAGTGCTTGTTAAATACAGAGAAAACCACAAGCCGTAATACACACTATTTTAAGTATATACAAAAAAAATCCGCTCTTGTGTTAGGCAAATACTCATCATGCAACTTACTGTAACAAGCAGAGAGGAATGTTCCAAAGAAAAATCCATCAGCAACCGATGAAATTTTGGGTTTTTCAGCGCTCAAGAAAACTTTTGGTTCCCAACATTAGTTCATTGCAACTTAGGTGATTATGAGATGAATTAACAATAACCTACCTTCTTTTAATGGAAGATACAACTGTATTCTAAAGCATGGACAGATATAGACAAAAGAGGCTACATTCAGTTCAGTCTTGACTGATCTTGCAAGTTGCATCAGTTTAATTCATACATTATGACCATGTTTATTTAATCTAAATCAAGCCCAGCATAGACTGCAGAGGTTCAATATGGTCAGAAGGAAAATCAACAAAAAAGCCTAAAAATTGACATAATTTAGAAATAATAAAGGAAGTTAAAAACAGAAAATCTATAATCAAAAGCAAGCAGAAAAACAGATTAGAAGACAAGCAAATAGGCACTTTATTTCAGTTGAACAAGAATTTACAAAAAGAATGGTCTTCTGCAAAATGACAACTACTCTTTTATCTTCCTCAAAYCTACGAAGATGTGCTGACTACAGGACCATGCTAGAATTCAGAGATAGCAGGGGAAAAAAAAAGTAGGGGGCAAAAAGGAAAAAAGATAGGTGAKATAGGTGTTTCAAACACAGAAATAATCAGCAACATTAAAAAAACATGAAACTTWGCATTCTTAGGGAAGATACATGTAAAAATACAGTAGCATTATGACATGACAGACTACACTCGGAAAGTGTACCAGAAACTCCTTCAGTCATAAACCATCTTCTGTCATAAACAAAAATAAAGGAAGAGCTCAGTGATATTAGAAGTGGYAAATTGTGAGCAAGTAAAGGAAAATCACTACTCTACCTGCATACTGTTAGCCTGCAGAACCTGACAGATGATCTCATGGTAGCTAAGACCTTGTCAGGATTCGTAACAGGACTAGGTGCTTAGCTGGACAAACAGAACAGCCACATGATGGCAAAACATAAGCAAAATAATTCTTCTTTTTTTGTTTTAATATCTAATAAACTCTCAAGGCTTTTGGATACAATTCAACCACATTAGGATAAAACTTCCATYCAGACTAGATTAACATATCATCTGTAAGCAGTAATGTTTCCCCATATGGTAGCGCTGTGTAATAGTCACCCCTGGAAGGAGGCGCATACTAATCTGATCAAGCACTGTAATTCTAAATTTAACCCTTGGGGCATTAGTCTTAATCTTCAGGCTGTCAGAGAAAGGCTAGATTAGAGAAAGCTTCACTACCCTAAACATGCAGATGTCTTAGCCCGCCCCTCATTAGACACTGTCACAATCAGATCAGTCCTCTTAAGAAGGACATTTCATTTGGGCCTGTTTCTCAAGACAGGTTTGATTCAACTGTTGTGGAAGATTTGCCTCCCTGCACATAACCCATGGCTGCAGAAGCTCCCTTGGGCTCTGATCACATTTCATTATATATCCAGAAGTCTAAAGGATAGCTGAGATGCATGCCTTTAATTATGTGCTGCCTTGCTGGGTTAAGTTTGTGTCAGACCTTGGTATTTTTAAGTTGATYTTTCTAGGTGAGCTTCCTGGTTCTTTTTAATAAATTAACTGCAGAAAATCATTGAGATAATTATAGTAATACATGGAAACACATCATTAGCACATGCAATTATCCTATTTACCAACTTGATTACACTGTGTTACGTTTTGTAACTTTTTTAAACAGATAGCACAAGTTGAAATATGACTTCTAAAAGTAGCATGGGACTATTTTTAGTCCCTTATATTTTAGCTTATATGCATGCTAGATTATTTAATCAYGGACAACTTTTTAAAATCATGGATAAATTTTCTTTTAAAACAAAATATTTTGCAAAAAAGAAGAATGCAATTCAGTATACTCTTTTCATCTTGCGAGTTAGGTATAACCATTACAAGACTAGTAAGAACTAAATCTGAGTAACCTACAGCTAATGGAAAGTAGTTAAAATAACTTCCCTGAACTACTTGCTTCCACAGAATGGATATTTCTTAGTATGGGTATAATAACAATTCCTATAGACAAATTATTCTGTTACTTCACATAGACAACTAGCCATTTCTTTTAAACCGAGTCAATTTCCACTGGTGTAAGAACTTCCATTGATATGAAGAAGGCTTAGGTATTTGTAAATATTACTAAATGATAAGCAAGAAAATCAATTTCAAATAACATGGTACACTAATACCAAATTCTTTCAARTCCCAGGTTACTTATACTTCACAAGGCATTCGAGATGTAACTCAAGAATTTTCATACTCCATGAACAAGCATGCAACAATAACCAAGTTCAACAACTTTGGATATTAGTTCTATTATATTTTAGTACTGTCTCAACATAGAGTARTTTATGTTTGTGCAGTCTCACCCTTCAATTAAAGCTCTCCTCATGCATAACATTTCTTTCTTCCCCAAAAAGTAAAGCCAGTTCTATATCCTTACCTAATATATCCAGTTCAAGGCTTTTTGCAAGATCTCTTACACCATCAGCTCCAAAAATATGCGTCTCGTGTTTACATTTGGGGCACTGGAAAACACTCATATTTTGAACAAGTCCTAAAACCTGGTAAATTAAAAGGAAGAACATGTTCAAGTCTAYGACTCGAGCATCATTATTTCCATTATTCATGTCTGACAACGAAGAAGAGATTACAAACAGAGAATCTTAAAGAGCACTCGTTTAATACGAGTAACAGTCTCAGATTGTCTCATTATGATGTCTAACTTTCTGAATATCAGACTATCTCATTATCAATTATTATTAGTCTCAGTTTCCACATCATTTACACACTATTTCAAGTACTTCAAGCTTCAAAGATTAACAAAGTTATTTATAACAAGTACCACCTCTTAAACAGATCTATCCTCCCAACAACTCTCTCTCCCAGCCCAGGGAAATGTATTTCATCTTAAGACTCTGAGCACTGAYGAAGTTGTGTGTCATGTTTTCCAGCTTTGTAGTTTGGAGTTTTAGGAATTGCACAATAAAAATCTGCCATCACAAGAAACAATACCATGAGGCACATTTTAAGATGCTTTGTAAAGTTACCCTGTTGGGAAGTCTTCGCAAAGAAACAGATTTACTATTCTTTTGGAAGACCAGAGAGACATGTTAAGGATCAAACAGAAATAAATGTGAAACAAAGTGACGAAAGTCATGGGATAAAAGTCTAAAGTATGAGAGTATTAGGCGCCTTTTTGTTGATGCCAGATGTTCAACATCATCCTTACAAAAAACCTTGAAAAATTGCCAAATTGTGCACACAAATCTCTTCTTTCATAAAGTACAATAATGCTAATATTAAAATTAATCCCATTATATTCACTTAGTAAACAAAACTGCTCATTGAAGCAGAACAGAATTTCTCAAAAATGTTGGAAATAGCAGGCAAATATTATAGACTGACAACTTCTCCTGATTTACTAATCAACAGAAGACTTCCTTTAGGAAGTTGGGATGCACAATTTAAGATAGGTATATAGRCATAGTCACATACATTATAGCCAAGTTTTAAGAATATGAGTATACATTTTAAAGTATAAAGAGCTATTATGCACCTGGTGTCTTCTGTGGTTTTTAAAACATCTCTGAGCATTCTAGTGGTGTATTTGATCAAGCTGGCCCAGTTAATAGGGGAGTCATGTACCCACCACGTTACACACCACTGGTGTTCTGGTGAAGTAAAATAATATGCCATAATACAAACATACTGCCTTTTTAGTTGAACAAGATAAACCAAGAAAAGGAAAGCCTACAGAAGGCGAAACTCTTCAGAAACCCACTAAAATAATCTCATGTACTCAAATAATAGATGGTTTTGAAGACTGAATCCAATCTGAGTGGAACTGAGATGATGGGGGGCATAGACCCAGAACCTGCCACTCACCTTGTGCACAGCTGCAGGTCCCCCGCTCAGTACTTCTGAGCCAGAAGTGGGTAACAGGACTTCTTTCTCCCTACCCTCTGTCCTATGACAAGCAAATTTTGRCTCTAATATGAAGTCATAATCTTGGCAGGGTACTGTAGATGTTGTGGTAACACTAACAAGTAAATAGCCAAGCAAACAATTTTAGTACAGCTTAGGAAGAAATATACAGCTGTGTTTATGTTAGTTGTTCTTTGAAACCTGTGAAAGCCACAACATATCCTACCAAATTAAGGAAACAACTAGAATAATTGCAAATTTAAAACAGAAACAAAATCCTATCTTTTTATCTCAGGGATAAGTTTGGCAACATAGCGCATATTCCACTGCACTCAGTATCAAGAGATTGAAATAGGTGATATTTTTCCTAAAAGTTCCAAGTTATTCCTCTCCTTGGCAGCTTTTCCATGCTTCCATCCGTCAATCATTCCACTTGAATTTCATTTCAGTGAAGGAGATAACATGTTACAGACTGTGGCTTTTATAATCCTGCCTACATCATATAAGGACCTGTTAACTAATGTCCGCAAGGAAACAGCAAAAGTGCTTTGTGTGTGTGTGTGTGTGTGTGTGTGTGTACGCGTGTGTGTACGTGTATGAGAGAGAGAGCCCAGTTCACTAGAACATAAGCTGCCCAAGGACCAAGAGTCAACAGCCTAGAGATCATCAACTACTTGCAAAGCATTTGCCAAGACTCCACTTTTCCAAAGATTATGTTTAGTCAGTTATATAGCACAGTTATAACACACACCTCTAATGTAGTCCTACAGATTCATCATTTTGAGCACCCATTTGATGTCAACCATTCTCAGGTTTGAAGCTGTTCACCACATATAATCTAATCAAACTTTCCTTGTAGCCTCAGATTTAGCTTATATTTTAAATTGCAACACACCAGCAGGAGCTGCCAAAATAAATGACACCTGTACTCATGCACACAAGGTGAGGAAAAAGGAAAGGAGCAGCAGCAGTCAAGATGTACGATCTGATGACTGGTTCAGATGCATTCCAATTCAGCATCTGACAAGGTTTCTTTGCTGTAAATTTTCATTTGATTAAGCTAAGAACTGAAAATTCTGATGAATCAAAATAGAAGACGTGTCGTATTGAAACATCTCATTTATCACTAGTCAAATTAATAGTAAAAAAACCTACTGCGGGATGCATGCTTTGGTTAGATGCCATTCTCTTCAGAGCATTGAACAAAAAAGTCATTAAAAAGATCTTGGCAATTTGTCACTACATTAAAAGAAAATTCAACAAAGTACTAATTTAAACACAATTTTACACAAAGAAAATAATTGTTTGAACTTAGTATATCTAAACATAAAATAAAACYCAAACACAAAGATTACACATACTATACTTCTCTCTCACATTCACACACCCATAAAATATACCTTTCCCTAGCAGCAAATGGCAGAAGTGCTATTTTACTTMCTTTGGTGCAAACATACTTAAGCAATAGTTAACAATAAAGAACTTATCAATCTATGTCCCCTTTCAAGCTATTCTGCAAACAAAGAAAAAAAAAAGCAGCAACTTGATTGCATTTTTAATTAAAAATACATTGGTTAAAGAATTTTCCTTTTTTTTTTTTTTTTTTTTTTTTTTTTTTTTTAAACCAGAGTAGGCATGATCTCCATACAGACAATTAAGAAAAGATCTTTTCTAACATATCAAAGTGTAGTGAATGCTCTTTTCTTAGGATTTTCTTAGGATTTTCAACAAGGAATTTCAGCTTGCATTTTCTCATCAAATATATATTTTAAATGAAAAAGGAATCTCTTCATGGACATATTGGGAGTACAATAYTTAGTTACTTAGCAACTTGTAGTAACTATCAAAACCTCAAACCAAATTAGTCATATTTTCCCTAAAATATTCATTTAATTAGCAACCTAGTTAATATTTTAAAATGAATATATTTTTCTTTAATATTTTTCTATTTCAAATCCTTTTATTCTTTAGTTTTAATCTAAAATGTTAATTCTAAGTTCAACGAAAAAGTGATACAAATATCAACAACCAGTTTTCAGAATATATAAAATATGAAGACCAAACGACCATCTTATTTAATATTTCCTCCTTTAGTCTTTAGAAAGACTAAAGTTTTTCACATTTTGGAAGAAATCAGCGAGTTTTTTTTTTTTTTTTTTTTTTAATAAAAAGGCTTACAGGCACATGGACTTTTCTAAACATTTCAGCTCCTTTACGTGCATCTAATAACGCGATGTCTTGTGGAGTGGAGATGATCACAGCTCCTGGGAAAACAAAACACGAAACGGCATTAAAATCAATATTGTCAATTACACTGCTGAGCATTGTGGCTGTTTAGACTGTGCTACATCATGTAACCATGAAAATCAAGTTTATACACCTTTTTTAATTAAAGAAAGAAAACGATGCTGATTTTTTATCATGTAATGATCAGAAGTGAGATGCAGTATGAGCAGATAGAACTTTTTCGGTTACTTTTATCCAGAGTTTTCCCATGCAGAAATCATTTTATTTTTCATCTAGATGATACAACAGAAGTAGGTGCCCACATGGCCATGGCCAGAAAAGGACATGGTCCAAATACCTCAAGATTTCAGGGAGAATCTCAATGCAGTAACTGTTCCACATCAGCTTAGGACTTAGGATATTTTGATCTAACATTGAACATTGTCCCAGGGTGGAGAGGAGGGGAGGGAACAGGCAGCACTAAATAGTCAAACTGCTGATTAGGGAATTGTCCACAATTTCTGCTACGAGCACTGGTCTGTACAATCCTGAAGGACATACACTAGACATGACAGCTAGCCCAACAGGACCGGGTGCGTAGGAGTTACACTACAAAACATGAGACCAATTCATTTAAACTCACACTAGGTTTGAAAAAGGAATGCCATTACCTACTGTTCAGGCATGGCTCCAAGACACCTGATAACTCTAAGAGGTTATTAAATAAATACATGAAATATAGCTATAGAGGGATTAGAATTGAAATAACTTCATAAAACTGCAGGTTACTACACTGTATTAGACCCCGACTAGCAGAGCCTGCAGAACCAGGATGGACATTATAATATTCCATATCATTTCAYGGAGAACAGTTTCTACACCTTTTTGCACATGGTTGGGGGTTCCAACATTATTTCTTAAAACTCTACATCAAGATTCCGCTCACGTTTACCCCTTCTAAAAAATATGCAATGTGAGAGACAGCATTACTGGGAAATAGATTAGCTTTGGTTTCACTGTGCTAAAGTCTCCGAAGCATTTGTTATAAAAGTGGTTTTGTAGAACTAAATTCACACACACACACACACACACACACACACACACACACGTCAAGCATTATACCAAAAGCCACCAGCACAGAGTTAGATGCTATCTACCTGGGACAGAGCTTCCTACTAGGCTTGCAGTTCCCAACCCTTGGTATTGAAGTCAAGGGAAGACAGGGGCAGCTTTTCCACGATGTGCAACATGGTTGGCAYGGGACTGAGTATTCGGAGTGCTGGAATCTCAAGGGCCCTCCGAGCTCTTCAGGCGCTGGGACGGGAAGCGCCTGCCCGTGCAATCTAGGGCTGGCTCATCCCCGGGAGAGGCTGCGCTTCCGAAGCGCCGCCTGCCAGCACATCTGAGTGTTTTGAGCCAGTGCTCTTAACCTCTAGTCTGTGAAAGAAAAATACAATCTGGCACCTCACTCCTGAAAAGCTGCCAGTTTCTGCCTTATGTAAGACTAGATACGAGTCCAAAAACTGAACAGCATATGCAACTCACCAAACAAATGTAGTTTCCCTATTGTTCTCTAAAACGCTATTACCCAAATGATCTGCTATTTTTCCTGGGTCRACTTTCTTCCAACATAACAAAGAGGAACGTGGAATCATTTCAGCTCCATTCAAGTCACCTTAGTTGGTCAACCTCACTAAAGCACAGATTTACATTTTAGAGCTGATATTGAAGAGCGGGGTTAACTCCACCAAATGGAATTTACCCTATCTTAAAGCACAGCCTGCAAAGAAGGTATTTAGACTTGATATATTCTGAGTTTTCCGTGCATTCAAAAACAGAAGTTTTTAATACTTAGCAAAACTACTTACTGCCTGCTTTTTAAAAGAAAATGAAAATCTAGTGCAACTGTCTTATGACTATACACTCATGTCAGCTGTTTCTCATAACAAGGTCTTTTTCCCCCACCTTCTGCTTGCACATTCCTCTCCCAAGACACTGACTCAGTCAGCATTCCCTGGATCTTCGCATAGGAGGAGCCACCAACATGCAACCGCCAACACTTCATTCTACATTTTCTGGCCCATCATTAATGCTTTTATGAATGCAATAACCAGCACGGAATGAAGGACAGAGGCCATGCCCATTAAAAACACTCCCTTTTATCAATGTTTATTTAAAGGATACTTTCAACTAACAACTTTTGTTTCTAAAGAACCTCACCCAAAGGGAAAAAGCTAAAAATCTGAGAAAATGCAATGGCATAATGCCAGGGTAGAGGTGAGGATGGGAGCCCTGAGCAGAAACACTGGCTCTCTGCATGAAAAGCTTTGGCTTCTGTAATACTTCAGTTGCTGCTAAACTGGGGGTCAATTTGCCTGGCTTTTTTTCACAGGATGAAAGGCAACATGTTCAAGAAGCTGGTGGGCAGAGTGTAACAGRTGTCTCTCCCCTATATTCCTTTGCACTCTGACTTGGATTACTGACTAAATCAAAGTAGTTATTTTCCTCCAGTAAAAGAGTTAACTTTTTTGTTCTGCTTTCCTTATGAGAATAAAGAAGACAAAATCTCCCCCTCCTGTTGGCACCCTTTCTGAGGGCACGGCACCCTGGAAGGGTACCCAGCAGGGAAACACGTGCTCCCTCCAGCCTGACATCCCGCATAGCGGCAGCTAAAAACCTCCCTTAGTATCAACGTGCAGTGCCTTTAAGAAGATGAGAGGATGAGAGTATTCACTATTCAGGCTAATTCTGTCACCTCAGCATTTGATGCTTTCATAATCTGTTTAGACAAGGCTACTTAAAATTATTGTAATTTCATTAGGATTTGTCCTCTGGTTCTAAATCAGTTCCCTGGGGCTCAAACCRCTTAAGAGCATCTTCACAAAGGGTTTCACTTGTAATTAACACGGAAGATATGGGACAGCTCCGAATTAAAATTTCTTGAAGCAAAATGTAAATTAAAGGTGGTCCCAAGCAAGTACTACTCATCAACTGTAACCAAAATAAATGTTTTATGGTAAGTTATTGATTTATTTATTTAGAAGAAAATCTGCTTCAATTATGTGTATGCTATTTTGGGAAAGAAACTTCAGGTCATCCGTATGTCCTAACTTAAGAGTCTGTGCTTATATATCTTATATAAGATTAAATTGTTGATGGAAGCTACAAACACCAATCTGTAAAGCATTCATCTCTGATGGCTACCAGGTATCTACTGACTTGCAGAATTCTACAACCCTTCTGAACGATTTATATTTCATTTTTACCTGTTCGGTGAGCAATAACTTTTACTCACCTGCCGAGCTGAGGCACAAAAACAGGACCTCAAACATCAGCAGTTCCAGTCCCCTCCAAATACAGATTCCCATATCCCTAGAAAACTTGTCTAAAACCCATTAAGCTTTGTAATAAGCTCTGTAATCTCTTACTCATACTGAAGAGAAGACCCAGAATCTTCTAGTCTTCTAATGGCCAGAAATCTGTTTTTGATTTGTAGACTGAAGTTACTCAGAGCCACTTCATACTCAACCTTAAAGGCACTGGCATGAGCAAGCGTGCCCTCTCTTCCTCTGSTGCAACTGCCAACCCAACAAACCTAACCTGAAGTTCAGGAAGCCAGAACACAAGTAGCACTAATTCCTGTAGAACATGGGAAACAAGGTTTTTCCACTCCCCTGAATAAATTTGCCTGTGTTTGATCCAGCATGTGATTCAAATGATGAACAACACAGCCACATTTTCTTTGCTATCTTGTTCCTACATGTTTGATAGCAATATGGAACAATAAAGAGATATTTAGATCAATACAGTAATGAAATACCACTGAGTTCCTGCACACAGCAGGACTCACAGCAGTTCAGGCAGTCTTTGYGCAAGCCTCTTTCCGAGCGAGACAAACCAAGGCTGACAAATTGAACAGAGAAGTTGCTGAAACCAGAAAGCCATCGCATTGCCCGCTGAGATTTACTGCACACCCTATGTCCACAGTTGTGTGCAGAGCAGGAACTTCTGTGCCTTGAGCACACCGAAAACATCCAAGCGAAGCATTTTGGATATTAAATAACGTACCTGTTCMTGCCTTTCATTTGTTTTAGTCATTTCTCTGTATTTCAACTGCCAAAACTCAATGCAGGTGACATTAATAAAAACTATGCTAACCATATTTTTAATACCTAACATGCAGAAAACAAAGAAGCTCTGATSTCTTCCTTTCTTTTTAACTTCAGTTAGTTGATCCCTAGTAAAAGACAAACCTTCCTATTCAGCCCTTTGTAATGGACCTTTCTGATGGACTAGGGTCTAGAAAATGAGAATCACTAAAAGATTTCTGCATACCAAAAATATCACCAATATTTACTGCATCATTAAGGCTTGTAGTGGAGGTTCTGAGTTACAAGACCTAGGGTAGACTCAGCCCCAAGCATTAGCTAYAGTCAACGTGCACCTGAACCAAACACTGAAATGCTCTTTCTAGCCTTCTAAAAATTCAGTTTTGAAGCCCACCTTAGGTTGCAAAGAATTTTACTTTTAAAAATAGCCTAAATTCCTCCAGTGTTGGCAAAGGCAGATTTCAAAAGGAGTCAATGTGAACCTTATTCAGGCAGATGATCAACAACTACTCCCACATACAAGTGTTAGTGCCCATCTTCTAGCACCTTGATTGCTATCAGCTCCATAAGTAATACCACCCAGGAGCCCTGGGAGCTAAGAGGAATTGAGGAAGAAGACTCACAGAGTTTTGAAGGATGAAGACATACAGAGAGGCATAGCATTCTCCTAATAACTCCCTCTGCTGATAGAGRGGCATTGAGTTTTCTTGGAAAGAACCACACGCTGAACTCAATGTCCATTCCACCTCCTTCTTTCAAGACCACTTGCCCCTCATCTGCAGATGATAACAAGCATTTGACCAGATAAAATCAAAGTCAAAATGCTCTTTTGACATAAGAATATGATTTCAAAATTCATATGACTTCTGAAAGGTTCCAATACAGAGAACTGTTGGGAAAGGGAATTTCTATTCCATAAAAAGGACAAA